CACTTTGGGAATGATGCCCAGCTCAAGTGAAGCATGCATGCTGGCAATGGAGCTTCTTAGGCAAGATGTAAAAGATTTATTATTCCTGTTTAGCTTTGATCTCTCTTTGCATAAGGGTGGAGATTTGTGACACACTTAAGTGGTCTAAAGTAAGAAGGTTAGAAAAATGGCTCATCTGTATAACTGAAACTCCAAGCTAATAAGATGGGTGGGGAAGAGAAACCACTGGTTTTATTTTGGAAACTTTTTTTTTTCTGTTCCATAATTAATGCAGAGATCCTACTTCTGAATTATTTTTAAAGAAACAAAAGAGTTAGAATACAAATTTGCTTCCATCCAATTTATAGAGGTGACTGATCTTCTGAAGTTAATGTTTATTTTTTTCCATCTGTATACTTTATGATATATATATAAATATTTATAATATATATATATATATATATAACATATGACTTATGTTGTTTTGTGTGCATTTTAAGAGTTACGTGAAGGGTGGCATAGTAAAGACATTAATCGCGCTTTTTTTCCTCATATTTTTGTTTCTGGGATTCATTCTGGTTGATTCATGTAAGTCAAGTTTGTTCTTTTTCTGAATTCACTATAATTAAATTTTCCATTCCTATGTTGATTGACATTTCCATTGTTCCCATCTTTTTTATTCTTAAAAATAAGTGTGGAAGTTGCCTTCTGCCATATGCAAGAGCTCCACTAAAGTTTATACTTAGGCATAGTATTTTGGGTTTACAGGGTATAAGCCTTTAGCATTTTAAGGGATTGACAAGTCCCTTCTCCTTCAACAGCAGAACATGAGAGTTCTCACTTCGTCTTACTCTCTCAAGCAGTTGGGTATTGCCATTCTCTTTCATTTTTTTTCCTAATAGAGATGCAATTTCATTTGTATTTTACTTTGCAATTCTCTATTAAGTTGAGCACATTTCCATACTTTCATTGGTCATTTGGTTTTCTTTTTAGTGAAATTCCTGGCCCCATTCTTTGATCATCTTTTTTTCAATTGGTGTTTTTTTCTTATTATTTTGTGTTTCTGCAAATATTGTATGCTAGTCTTTTTGTCTGTGTCACAGGACAAAAAGAAAATTACAAAGACCTCATAGAATGGGGTATTTTTTTTAATATTTATTTTTTAGTTTTCGGCGGACACAACATCTTTGTTTGTATGGGGTGCTGAGGATCGAACCCGGGGCCGCATGCATGCCAGGCGAGCGTGCTACCGCTTGAGCCACATCCCAGCCCTTAGAATGGGGTATTTTTGAAAGAAAAAGATAAAATGGTAGTAAATAACTTCAAGATCACAGCATTCCTAGGTGTTCCCATGATATCTGATTCCTTCAGTCCCAGAGAAAACTTTAAATAACTGTGTCCCAAATGCTGTATTATTGGATACAGGAATACTGGGAGACCACCTCAGGAGTTTTATCAATGTGCATGTAAATCAACAAATACTATGTCATTTTGTTATTATAACATATAACAACAATTCAGCTCTAAGCAAGTGCCCTGGATACTTATTTTGTATGATATTTCTTATGAGGATTGTAAACTTGCACCATACCACTGTTTGACATCTTTAGATGACCAACTGAAGACAGACTTTTCTCACCAGGTTTCATTACTCCTTCATATCACAGTCTGATTCCACCCAGTGGATTAATTGTAGCTTTGTTGATAATTATTATTATTATTATTTTTGGTTCTGAAATGTAAAACTTTAAGATAGTCACATTTATCATTATTGTCTTTTATTCTTTTGCTTTTCTTGATCTTACTTATGAGCCCTCTCCTACTCAGATGCCATCACGGTATCATCCTTAATTTTCTTCTCAAATTTTTCAGTAGTTAATTTTCATATTTAGATTTTAAAAATAGATTTTACATATGGCATGAAGAAAGAAATATAACCTTAGTTTGTCCCCCACATGGATTGTGATCTTTTTCTAGTACCACTTATTGACTGGTTCAACCGTTTCTACCATTTATAATGGCAGTTCTCTTATTTTGTAAAATTCGCTTGAAGTTTCACTGTTTTCTGTTCCATGCCATTGTTTTATTTAGCCATCCAGTACTAATATCATGCTGGTTTTTAACATGGTTGCTCTAAGATAGTCTTGATATCTGGTAAGGCACTAGCTATAAGTTTCCTTTCATGATAGGCTTTGCCCATTCTCTGTTTTCTTACTCTCGTTCCTTTGCCTCCTTGGCACTTATGACCTAGCATAATACATATTGCTTATTTTTTATTGCCTGTCTCTCTCAAGAAAATTTAAATTCGCTGAGAGTAAAACTTTATTTTATTCACTATTACGCCCTAAGTAAGAATATTTATTTAGTGATTTAACAAATTTGAGAGAATTAGTGTGTATAATGAATAAATGAATTCATAAATAAATATGGGGTTTTAAGTCATGATTTTTTTTTCTCTTTCTTTGTCTGATTTTGATATTCTGGTTTCATGATATTAATCCAGTAGCTTTCAGACATTTTGTATAAATGCATATTTATTCTTTAGGATATATCAAGGTCTAGTGCTTCCTTGTGAATAGATGTTGGTAAATGATTTAAGTTATTTAACATTACAGTTTTCCTTGGGTTTCTAAAAGTGTTATTCTTGAGCTAGTTTTGGTATTTTCTTATAAAATTCTTCCTGTTTCCTTCATTTTTCAGATGAATTTGTGCATTTGCTTATTTTTGCTGCTGCAACAAATGATCCCAATGTATTGACTTAAACAAACCAAATGGGTAGTTCTAGGCCAAATGTCTCAAATGGGTGGCAGACCTTTTCCTCCCTTGTTTCAGCTCCAAGAGTATTGCTCACATTTTGTGTTGGGTCACATCTTGGCTTCCCATTTCCCCCACCCGCACTACCACTTATAAGAACCTAAAGATTGCAGTGTTCCTGGGTGTATAATCCATGATACTCTTTCCACTTTAAGATCCTTTGCTTCTCATATGAAACTCCTATTTCACCTGTCAGGTAGCATATTCACAGGTGTTGGTTATGGACTTCTTTTTGCGGGCCAGTATTCTACCTACCAAAATTAGCTTCATGTTTTTCATTGTATTTTCTCTTGTATCTCTCAGTTTTATTGCTCCCCCCTTCCTTTCTTTCTTGTTTCAGATGGTGTTTATTTCTTCCTCTATCACTTTCACTTAACCAATTCATCTGATAGTTGTCTTTTTTATCAGCAACCCAACAGCTGTGACCGGGGTTTGGGTATAGTATAAAAATTAGAGGGCTGGGGATTTGGCTCAAGAGGTAGCGCAATCGCCTGGCATGCGTGTGGCCCGGGCTCGATCCTCAGCACCACGTACAATCAAAGATGTTGTGTCCGCCAAAAAACTAAAAATAAATAAATAAATTAAAAAAGATTAGAAAGTCATGGTGGGCCCTTTGGGGCGTTCTGTTCATATTATTTGTCCCTCCTGTCATTTCTCACTACTTCATCAAACAAAACTTCCCTTGTGCTCTGGGTAGTTGGAAGTAACCCCTAGTTGGCTGCTTCCTAAATCTACCTTAAAGGTAATGGCACATACAGAGCATTCTCATTCTGAATCCCATTCTCATTTTCTATGAATGAAACCTTCCAGCGCCTTTTCTCTCCTGACTCAGCTCTCAAGAATATCTAAGGAGGTGTGCGCCTTACCTCTCTACTCCCAGGGGTTTGACGCCTGGGCATGCGCACCTGCTGTGGCCTAATGGAGGCAGTGATGCGGGTCTCACTCCTTCCACTCTCTAGTGACCATCCCGCTTCCATTATGCCACCCCTTCCATCTCCTCTTTCCACCATCACTCTGCACCCAGGCTCCAGAACCGGTCTGGCTGGTTCTGACATCTGGGGAATGAACCTGTCGGGTTCATCCCCTAGCCTCTAGCAGCTTGGGCTCCGCGCCTCCGCCCTTATTCCCTCGCCGCTGCCAGCTCCTAAGAGTGAAAACCACTACAAATGGCTTGAATGAAACGTGTGTGGGTTTAGTGAGTGGTAAACCACCAGGGGATCCGGTCTCCCAACAATGCAGAATCTCTCTCTAGGAGGAGGAGGGGTAAGGGAGGAGGCACGGGGCAGACCGTTTGTCTCGCCCGCTCGCGCAGTGGCTGAAGCGGCGGGAAGAGGCTGGGCCACCTCCCCCTTCCCGGCCACGCACTGCCTTGCCCGCGGCGGTTCCAGGCACCACACTCTCCGCCCGGTCTGCGCCCGCTGTGGCAGTGACAAGCTTCTGCGGTCGACGGTACTGTCCACCCACCAGCAGCGCCCTCTTCTCCCCCTTCCCCCACGATTCCTGTCTCTGCAGGGGTACGCCGCCCAGCAGCCGGCGCCGCCTCCTTGTCAACTTTGAGCCGGAGGAGAAGCAACTTTGACAGTGGCCGCAGGTTTCCAGTCGGCTTCTTCTTGGCAACATTAGCTTAGAAAGTCGCTAGGGTTAGGTGGGGCAAGAGTTTCCTGGTGCATCAGCTCTGAGTCTGTTTGCAACCTGTTTCCAACGAGCGGGGAGCGGGGATTGTGACTGTCAGTCATCTGGGGGAGGGGGAGTTGTTTTTCTTTCCCTTTAGAGACCTCGGCTTGCAACTGGATAAAGCAGTAGCGAAAGGATGTAAATAGGCAGAGCAACTGTTACCAAGAAGGCAACCACCACCCAAAGGCAGGGAGGCGCACAGGGCTTCGTCCGTCCGGGCTTCGCCCAGTCGCAACATTAATCAACAATCAGGTGTTGGTTGCAACTTTTCAAGGTCAGCCACCCGGAGCAGCTCTTTCCTCTCGGAGTCTTGGGGGTACACAGAGCTTGGACTGGATTTGGCTGAAATGCACAGGACACCAAACGAGGAAGGATTGTAGGGGGGACACCAAGACCCATCCCCCACTCTCCCGGTAATCTCCAGTTCCCCGCTGCCCAGGCGGGGGTGAGTATGTGACATGTGGCTAACTCTCCGCAGCAAGTTAGGCAGCAGGTGTTGGTCCTAAGCGAGAGCGGCGGCTGCAAGGTGCGCCCTAGCCAAGCCATGCGGGCCCGGGGCGCGCCACTCGGTCGCACATCGCGGCTGCTGCTTCTGCTACTGCTCAAGGTTTCTTCTTTCTCTTCTGCGCTGGGGTTTGTCCCCGCGGCCAGAAAGGAAACTTGTCTCGGGGAGAGCTGCTCACCTACATTGATCCAGCGCCGCAGCAGGGATGTTTGGGGACCAGGAATTTTTGCAAGAGACGTTCTGAGAGCACGCGCACCCAGGGAGGAACCAGAGAAAGGGGCACGAGATGTGCCCTCCGGGGACCTACCGGCTGCCCGGGGCGGTGACCCTGGTGCCGCTAGAGGGGCGGAGACGTCGGCGGTTGGGCCCTCGGGACCTCCACTTGGAACCTGGAGGTGGAAAAATGCCCGCAGTCAGGAGGCACCTGGAAATTTGGGGAGAGGGGACCCAACGGCCCTCCAACTCTTCCTTCAGACCTCAGAGGAGGATGAGAAGAGTGCCAGAAGCTCTGGTATTTCCCGGCGCAGCCAGGAGCAGAGCGTGAGAACAGAACCCGGAGCCAGCGATCTTTTCTATTGGCCAAGAAGAGCAGGGAAACTACAGAGCACCCACCACAAGCCCCCATCCAAAACAATCAATGAACCTGCGGGGCACGAAGGGAGGACAATTGCACCTCCCGGCAGGGCGCTACCCCAGAATGGGTCCTCTGGTGAGGGAGTTCATGATCGCTGGGGTCCCCGTCGAGGGAACAGCACCAGCCGGCGGGTGAGATTGAAGAACCCCTTCTACCCGCTGACCCAGGAGTCATATGGAGCCTACGCAGTCATGTGTTTATCAGTAGTGATCTTTGGAACCGGCATCATTGGCAATCTGGCGGTGATGTGCATTGTGTGTCACAACTACTATATGAGGAGCATCTCCAACTCCCTCTTGGCCAACCTGGCCTTCTGGGACTTTCTCATCATCTTCTTCTGCCTTCCACTCGTCATTTTCCACGAGCTGACCAAGAAGTGGCTGTTGGAGGACTTCTCCTGCAAGATTGTGCCCTATATCGAGGTAATGCCTTCTAGGGGTTCTCAAGCTACTGGCTTTATCCATTTCCGGGAGTATAGCATCAAAGAACTGCTGCTGGACGCACCTACCTGGCTGAACCTCTTCGCTTTTTCTTTGGGTCCCTCCATCTGTCTTTCCAATCATTTACGTATATATGTGTGTATGTAAAAAAAGAGGCAGCTTCTCTAGATCACCTTCAAATTCAGCTGCTTCTGGGCTGTAGGAAAAAAAAAAAAGATGGTCTCAGAATGCATAGGATTGTTTGGATTATAAATCTCTCTCTTTGAATATGATACTACTTATATTTCTCATTTGGCACCCATCAGAGATTCCAGAGTTAAAATAATGGCCAGTCTGTGGTTGTCCTTATCAGAGCATAGCAAGAAACAAGAAAATAGAGAAGAAGAGGGAGGAGGGGAGGGAGGCATTAACATTTATTTACTAGATTTCTAATACTTCAATGTAATTTTCTCCTCTAGAAAGATTATTACAGTCTTTCAAGATGCATAAGTGGAAGCAACGTTTTATTTGAAAAAAAAAAGGAAATTTTTTCTTGGTTGATTGGCCTCAGGATATATTAATAACTCCTCAAAATAGTTTACGTTTCTGGCTATCTACCAGGGTATTTCATCTAAAGTTTCAGGTCATTTTTTATATCTCTCTTTTTCCTTCTGAATTTCATAACAATTTTATTATTTTTGTATAATGAACTTAAGTAAAAGACTGGTTATAATGGCACAAAATCTGTTTAATATTCTCCAAGTACGTATTTGCTATTCTTTATGGGTGTAAAGGATTGACAATTTTAAGGCATTTACTCTTAGTCTAGAAAATTTTAGGAAGACAGAGGCATATATAGGTCCCAAACTTTGAAAATGATTATCATTTTGAGTAGGATTTTACTGCTTCATCCTACAATAAATGTCCCAAACCAGAATTGTGGTAGTTGGAATTTGCTCTCTAAATGGCCTCTCTTTAAACACCAGCTCTTGGAAGGGGCCCAAGTGTTTTGCTGCCAGTTGTGTTTTTAGCCAGCTGGCCCTTGATTTTCTCCATTCAGACTGTCCATTTCATTTATGGAAGCAGAAGAAGGGAAACTGTAAATATTCCAGAGCCCCTGATCCTGTCTGGCACCAGGGCCAGTGACACTATGTTCAACATTGTTCCAGGGCCTAAAGCTAGGGGATAAGTAAACAGAAAACAGCACCTACTTAAAAGGACCAAAGCAAGAGACAGTAAATAAGACCCTCTGTTATCTTGACAGGGATCAGATGCAGAATCATTTCAGGGCTACTAAGTCAGCTGCTGTGACTTTGGTAGGTTCCAGGACTTCTCTGTTGCCAAGCCTGAAGTGTCTCTGAAACAACTACACTTATTTGGGAGATAGTTCATTTTCAAATTGGGAAGGAGGTAGTAGAATTTGTGTTCAAGAATATCTGTCTATTTACTAACTGCCCTTTCAAGGTCAATTTCAGTTTAGAATTTCTCTGCTTATTTGAATTACAGGAAATTAATTTATGCAAGAAAGGAGACAGAAAGTAAAGTACAAAGGGAACAGGAGAGGTACCTACCCTAATAAGAGAGAAGGGTATTGACTTGTCTCACTGGAAATGTTCTGGACATAGAGAAACCTTTGTACTGGAAAACAACACAACCGAAAGAAGAAACTAGAGAAAGAAAATTACCAAAGTTCTTGAAGGGAAATTTGAAATGAAAAGAAGTTTCTCAAATTCAGGAAAGTATATAAAAACTTAGTTTAGCCAGACCAAACAGTTTTGAACAATGGTATTTATTACACATTTGTTTTAAATTTTTTCTCCCTAATTCTGTTTTCTAAATGTATTGATATTGCCTTCCATTTTTATTTCACTGTCCAATTTAATTTTCTCCTTAAAAATATTTTGTTTTTTTTTTTAAATCATTTTTCTCCTGGTCAGTAAAAATCTGTCTTTTGCTTAGTTTCCCCCCATCTTTATGATCTTATCTATTTTTCAGTTATTGAGACTAGGCTTTATTCTTCCTAGAGAAGAAAGACTTGAAAAATATTCCCTTATTTTTTCTTGAAAATTTACATTTTACATTTAAATATTTGCATAATATTTATATCATACATTTAAACATAAATATTTAACATAAACATTCTATATATATTTACTGGTAGAATAGTGAGTCACAATCTTAGTATGTAGTATTTCTATATTCCTACTTCTCCCTTTCTATTCCAGGGTTTTGTAATCTTTGTGGCTTTTTAATAAATCTTAGAATGACCATGGGCAAATAGAATGGAAGGAAAAGCAGGATAGGAGAGAAGAGAATCTGAAATTATTTTGAAATGTTTTAGCATGTTTTATAAAAATAATTATCCGACCATAGTAGTAGCTTCATAATTCCTAATTACTGAGAACATGAAGTTCAAATGTCAAAATAAAGCATTTTTACCTCCAGGAGGCACTGCTGTTTTCACAGAAGTAAGAGAGATTTAGTGCCTGTCCTATGTTGGGATCACACCCTGAGATGGAGATTTATTGGGGCATGAAGTTTACTAAAGCATGCCTTTGGGTTCAGTACCTATTAGGGGATGAAGGAAGCAGGACTGGGTAGAAGGAGAAGTTTCACTATGATACAATTGCCTTAAAGTCTTCAGCCCTCAGTAGGAGGACCTCTAGTGCTAAGAGGGATGGGTGGAAGCATGTAGAGAAATCCTGAATTGAGGCCAGAGCGCCCAGTCTTATCTTTCTAACGGAACCCATCATTGGATACAAGTTGCTCCCGGAAGTGGAGCATAACCTTGAGTTTGATCTATCTCTTTGGTAACGGGCAGTTCCTAGAGAGACAAATGTAACCAAGAGCTATCACCCAATAGCCAAGGGAAGCAATGTTTCAATTCTGAAGGATGTTGGGAGGGACCAGTGTGGGTGGAGAACCACAGTATCCACAACACTGACTTTAGAATTAGCATGTTAAATTAGAGCACAATTTCAACCAACCCTTGCATTTTAGTGATGAAACACAGGACTCAGAAAAAAAAATCAGCATCCCTAGCAAATACCTAGTATGTGGCAACAAGACCTTTGGTCTCCATACTTCTCCACCATGTTGCTAATTAGAGTAAGTGTATCATATGATCTAGATCAATCACCAAATATTTACTTCTGTTTGGATGTTAATTGGGGGTTTTGAATGAGCAAGGTTCCTCTTTAAAGAATTGATAACCTTCATGATGTGTGGTAGGGCAAAAGTCTTCAAGAAGGTGTAAGATAATCTCAGATGTAACAGTATTTTTATTTTACTAGGATACAATATTCCTGTGTTGGAGTAAAAAGTAAATAAAAGGAACACATCTCACCAGGCCTCTGGTCAAGGGATAATATATGACAAATCTAAAATGTTCTCTGAAGAGCCAGCCTCTGCAATAGCTTTAGAAATACTGGTTTAAAGTGAGTGAAACTAATGCTCTTTCTTGCCTTCAATTGTAGTTAGAACTGACAAGCAAGAAAAGAAGGATATCGAGGCTAAAGGTGGCATGACCACACTAGTTTGCAAAGTTACACCAATTTCTCTGAATACCCACATTCAAATTGTAGCACATTAAGCATGGCAGATGCTAAATTTGCTTGAGTTGTAAATTAGTCATTTGGTATTCTGATGGACTTTTAAGTGGAAACATGCAGTTTTATTAGCAATTTGGAAATTGCTAATAATATTCTCAGGGAAAATGGACTCAGTGTGTAGGAATGGTGCTTAACAAATATTTTATGATTTCACATTAATCCCTTTGTAATCATTTTCTACACTTCCGTGCAAGTGAAAAATTTTAGTTGATGACTCCAGCAGGAAAGAAAACCAGTTTGTAAGAGTGTGCTTTTATTTATAACTTCATTCCTGAATGGTACATGGTGAAGTTATCCAATTTGAATCTTAACATAAGAAGTAAAAGTTCTGATATTCAAATTCAAACTTCAAATAGTTAACCATTGATTGGAAAGAGAATGTGCCATTTTCTAAAGTTTGCCACTAAAATGTAAACAGAAGCATGCATTTTACTTTACTTCCCTTCCAGATTTATTATCTGGCATTTAGCTTTTAAGGATTATGAAACACCCAATAACTGATTAAGGAACAGTATGAATAATTCACTATTTACTCTAATCTTTTTCCAAATGTGTTGTTGTGTATTCTTTGAGTCACCATCCATCCATTCATTACTCATTTATTGGGCTTTTCTTCAATGAGAGACACTATGTTAGGAGTGGGCAGGAGGAGATAGGAGAAGAAGGGCAATTTTTTCAAAGACCAATATCATAGTTACGCTACTATTATTAAAGCTATAGAAAAGTAGAATGACGTTCTACAACATAACAAATACTATAGTAGAGGTTTTAACAAAGCATTATGGAATGGACCTGGTTGTGACAAAGATGGAGCAAAAACTGTTTTCTCCATCATTCTTTTCAATCATATTCTTATCACTAATCTTTATAGATGCCTATACATCTGAGATCCATGGTGAAAAGTTACAACTATGAAAATTTTTAATCTTGGTTTCCTATTTTTTAAACCTTTCTTAGACAGGAAGCCCATCATAATTGGCAAGATAATTCAGCAGATTGGAAAGTTATTTTAAAATATGGAATTTTAAAAATATGGAACCCCATCTCTGCTTTGCATTTATGAATTCTTATCAGTGATGAGGACATTAAATAAATCAGATTTAAAATTTTTGACTTAGTTTATTTATCAGTTGTAATTATAGTACATTAGATCGAGTTTACTTTTTTTTTTCCTAAACCTGAAAATCTCAAGAATGTATGTAGTATTCAGTTTGACTGGAGAGAGTCTAGGAGGCTGGCCAGGGAGCTACTTTGGATGCTATTGTAGAATAGGGGAGTGGGAAGCATAACAAATGGTCTTTCCCAAGAACTGGTTAACATGTCAAGTGTACACTCAGAGTGAGGATTTGCCCTGAGATGCTGAGGGCTCCCAAAGTATATGGTTATGTCAGT